GTGTGTTTGAAACTAAATACAAGCATTTTCATCGTGGTTTTATTTATTACAACCATAGGCCTATTCTTTTACCATCATTACACATTGAGGCTCTTCTTTTAGGTAAAACGATCTATCTTTAATTTTCCTTCTCAAGTTTAGGACTATTGTTTTTAAATAACTTAGGAGGCAAAGGAGGCAATTGCACAAGCTTCAACCCTAACAAATGCGCGCGAAGCGCTTGAAAAATGTTTGTGTTTTAATTCTAATTTCGTCGGAATTGATCAAAACTCCCTAAATGTGCAATGTTTAGAGGAAAATTGGCCTACCTCAACAAGAAATGCTCTAATGTTATATATGGCCACACTCGTTTTTTTAAATTGAATATAAGCATTTTCCTTATGGCTTTATTTATTACAAACATATTCTTTCAACATCATTACACATTAAGGCCCTTCTTTAAGGTAAAACGATCTATCTTAAATTTTCTTTCTTGAGTTTGGGACTATGTGTTATAACTTAGAAGGCAAAGGAGAGGAAGCACAATCTTTAACACTAAAAAATGCGAAGCGCGCGAAAAATTTTTGTTTGAGAAAATTGGCCTACCTCAACAAAATATGCGATTTAAAATTTGAGATTTTCAGGCATTTCCCGGGTGAAAAGGGCATTCAATGGGGAAAGATTTTCCACAGATGTATATTTTCCCCTTGACCCCCGGTGGTTACTTACGCCGCTGCGGATAATACCTGGCGGCTTAGATCAAATGCGATATGGACAGTTTTTGAAGTGGAGAAGGGGTTGCAGGCCGGGGTATTGTGATATCTGTTCATTATATCTTCCTTTTTATTCTTGTCCATATTTTTCTCTTCTCTTTTCTTTTCATTTTTCCTTTCTTTTTCTTTCCCCTTCTTTCTCTTTACCTCCCTCTCCCATCTTTCTTTTCTCTTCCTACCCAGCCCGGTACGACGGCTTGGTCAGCCCGGTAAAAACCGTCAGTTTGACAGTCTGCCCCTGGCCCCCCGCCTGTTACGCCACTGCTTATAAGATGAATGGGAATATGAATCATGCAGATCTGGAATCAAATCTAGGTGGTGGGGTCAACATTCCTCCCCCGGGAAAATTTAGATTTCTAGATGGCGGGAAATGACCTTTCTCGACTTTTGAGCTAGGTGTCTAATGACTTTGTTCTTCAAAATTCAAGGTTTTCCCCCTCATGAAAACGGTAAGGTAAACTTTCTCATTACAGTAAATAGGCCTGTTAAATGTGTATAAATACATTTAAAAAAAATGAGTAGTTGCATACGATTTTTTTCATGAGATGAATCCCAAAAAGAAAGGAGGGTCCGGGGGTTCTTCCCCAGGAATATTTTGATTCCTAGAAGGCGGGAAATGAGCTTTCTCGACTTCTGATGTGTCTTTTAAATTAAAGTCATTAAAAAATACTTCGGAAGTCGGGAAATCTCATTGTCCACCATTTAGAAATCAACATTTTCCCGGGAAGAACTCGAACCTCCCTTTCTCTGGGTTCATTAATTCATTATAATAATTTTCAAGAGGGGAACACCTTCAATTTTGAAGAACTTAAAAAGTTCCGTAATTAAGTTCTTCAAAATTCAAGGTTTTCCACTCTTGAAAACGGTCAGATAATTTTTTCCCATTGTTATTGCTGCGAAGCAGCCAATTCATATTCTTGACAGCAATTTGACCTCTGAAAGGTCGTTGTTTGTCAAAAAACGAGTGCCTAAGACGACTGAAATCCGGAGTTTCCTTCTTTCGTTGTGCCGGGTAAAATCAATTAATTTAGGCGACGTTTGTAGACTAACTAACCTACTCGTACCAACGTCCGCATGTCGAGCTAGCCTTATCCTACTCTAGGCCTAGACTAGCTGGATGGTGTAGGCCTAGCCTTGAAGACGAAGGTCCCAATGAAAAAACATTGTCTATTTAACATCACAATATTCATTATTAGACCTATAGTTGTTTTTTGAAATGTACTCCACAAATCTCCGCCGATACCTCGCACAACTGGCTAACGTCTCTATCCATTGTCGTGACGTTAATTATGGCTCGCTGGCTCACACTTGTGATATGTCTCGCACTTGTGATCAAATAACACGCTGGCTCGCACTTTGGCAACACTCTTTGGCAGTCAACTCGACCCTAGAAAACCCGCCCTTGGAAACTTGCCCCATAAAAAAATGTACACTTCCTAGACCATGCAGTCTTCAAAATAAAAATTGTAACCTTTGGTAATCACCACATTTTCCACATACATAGACATTTTTGAAACGTTATTTTAATAAAACCGAAACCATAATTCACCACACTATAGACACTTTTTGACAAAAATGAAAAATTACGACTTTGTTACCCAATGAGAAGTGTTCTAATATAGACAATGAGTCGTATCTCATATTATTTGTTATAGTTTTATTATTCATTATTTTCACTTGACTCGCATAAATAATTTTGTTCGAAGAACATTTATATGCAGTTGTACTTCGCAGCACTTCACTTGCAATTTGCAATTTCTAGTAATAATCAATACCTGTCTCTTATACACATCTAGATGTGTATAAGAGACAGTTATTTTCAATGAATCGATAAATCCCAAAAAGAAAGCGGGGGGGGGGGGTCCTGTGGTGTTCTTCCCCGGGAAAATTTTGATTCCTAGGTAGCGGGAAATGAGCTTCCCCGACTTCTGTGGTGTCTTTTAATGACTATTAAATTCTTCAAAATTCAAGGTCCCCCTCCCCCTTGAAAATGATTCAATTAATCAATGAACTCCAAAGATAAAGGGGTCCGGGTTTCCCCGGAAAAATTTCGATTTCTAGATGGCGGGAGATGAGCTTTCCTGACTTCTGAAATGTCTTTTAATGACTTTTAATGCTCTTCAAAATTCAAGGTTTTCCCCTCTTAAAATCGATTTCTAGATGGCGGGAGATGAGCTTTCCTGACTTCTGAAATGTCTTTTAATGACTTTTAAAGCTCTTCAAAATTCAAGGTTTCCCCCTCTTGAAATAGGTCAGGTAAATTTTTCTCATTTTTTTTATTTTATGTGTGTATACATACATAAATAAATCAGTAGTTGCATGAGTATTCGTTTTTCCATGAATCGATAAATCCCAAAAAAAAGGGTGGTCCGGGGGTTCTCCCCCGGGAAAATTTTGATTCCTAGATGGCGGGAATTGAGCTTTCCCAACATTTGAAGTGTGTTTTAATGAATTTTATGTTCTTCAAAATTCGAATTTTCTAATAGCGAAAAAAAAAAAAAAAAATCAGCTCGGTCAGGTACTGGATAAACATTCTCTTTCCCATTCTTCTCCTCCTTCTTCCCTCCTTCTTTTTCGACATTTCCGATCATACAAAAATCTCCAGACATTATATATTAATCGCCAAAAAGTGAAGGGCCCGGGCCCCCGGCCCCCCGCTTCCGCCGGCCATGCCTAAAAAGGAATGCTGACTCGGCTTCCTGCGATACCGTTAAGAAGGATAGCCCTCTGTACCAATTGTCTCCTTTCCTTGACGAAAACGGTATCATCCATGTTGCTGGAAGACTTCGACGATCTGATCTCGATCTTGGGGAACGTCATCCAGTGCTTCTTCCTAAACAAAGCCATGTCTCGAAATTGATAGCTGAACATTTTCATAAAGAAGTACAACACCAAGGGCGGCACACAACTTTCGCAGCCATACGATCCGGAGGCAAATTGATAATTGCAGCCCACGATTTAGTGAGAAGCATAATTGATCAGTGTATGATCTGCCGAAAATTAAGAGGAAAACTTCTTACACAAATTATGGCCGACTTACCGAAGGATAGAGTAGAAACCACACCCCCATTCACCAACGTCGGCATGGCACGGTGTCTTCACGAATAGGGGTTTTGGACAAAAAGAGTTGAACTATAGAGGGCGCTACATTACGTAATTCTTCTAAATCAGCGAAATCAATGAAGTGGAACGATGTATTGATCGCTACGCTAGTGAGTTTATCGGTACAGGAATTCGCGTAGTATATCAGATATTACGGAAAATATAAGCTATCTTTCATGAATTCAAACTAATTACAAGTTACTTATATGTGTATTAAACCACACATTTTAATTACAGTATTACGTTAAAAAAAAGTTTACTTGTATTTTTAGTTGTATTTCTGAGGCCCATTATACAGAGATGAAGTAAACAAACAGCGCCACCACACAAAGTCAAGGTACTCAAGTACGGAACTTTAAATCGTCTGTCAACACATATGTTATCCATCATTTAGAAGTCTGGTTTTTTTGTATACTTTCTTATTAGATGATATTTCATTCTGTTTCAAAAGCAAAAAATGTTGTAACGGTTGAATTTTCAGAAATTGCTTTTCAAACTTGGTGACTTTTCTACCTTTTTATACAACCTAGGCCTAGCTTTAGGCCAAGGATAGCGTTTTTTGTTATCCAGTATAGGCTTAGAGAGCGTTTGTGCGGGTGCGTGTGTGCTACAACAAATTCTATACAAAGGATCTCAATACTACTAACACTGTGGTGGTTCATTCTGTTTTGGTGTGGGGGTTCTGTTGTAGAGTTAAAATAGTACAATTATTTAAATTTCTTTAGTTTAAAATAAGAAAAACTGAATTCTATTTTCTTTACAAATTTAAATAATAATTATATTAATTCACTTTGGTATATACTTTATTCAATACAAATCATTAATAATGATATCTTGATTTACACATTGATGGA